TTGCAGCCTTCGGAAAAACAAGCAAGAAATGCTCAAAGGCTTCAGTTTGGCCCTCGATGTGGCCAAGGGTGTTTAAAAACTTTAACAAATTGGACATTTGATGGTTGAGGCCGAAGGGACTGAAATCGAAGCTCTCGTAATCCATCATGATTGCCACTGGCTTTGAACAAACGCCGATAAATTGCGTAATGTTTGGATGGCAAATGCTCTCAAGCATTTTTGCCTCCTTTGCAATGTTCTTTAAGAGAGAATTTCCCTCTCCAAAAAATCGCTTAACATCCACAACTTACCTTTACCAATCTCGTCCTTATCTTATACGTCACTCCTCGTAAAACTGGGCTGGTCCTCTAAGTAACCTTTTTGAAAGTGATTTAAGCTGAAGAAGTGGGATTTTAAAGGCCATACGACCACGTGGAGATCAATGCAGACTTGTACTCACGTGTGAATATGCAAATTAAATTGAATCTACACATGGCTTGTTATTAACTGTAATAGAAGAACTCATTTCGCAAGATTTGCACCATCTAGGTGTTGGCGGTAACACCTTTTCGAACTTGATCAAAAATATTTTCCAGGCGCTTTCTGTCAGTTTAAAATATTCACAGCTAACTAGCCAAGCAAAGCAACAAAATTAGCGCGAGGTTAATATTCTGCTTACAGATAACAACAGCTTAATAAAGAATTGACTACTTAAGTAAGACAGAATTTTTTATGCATGTATATATTTTTATGTCTTTTTCTTTTATATATTTTCTACACTCCGCATTTTCCACACCTCCACAAGATCAAAGTCTAATGTACATGCAATTATTGTAGTTAAATTTCACGTGTCCATCAATCAACAAATTACTGTACAAACAAAACAAGTATCGGGTTTCAAAAGGTAACGAAATTGTTCTAGCGTGGGGGTCTCCATGTTTCCGACAATATTCTTGCTAAGAGTTAGATGCAGATCCATATAAATTATTTACCTTCCTGTTAAGTGCCTTCTGTCTGGGTACTTTCCCATACCTCAGGATATCGTTATTTTCAAACGTAGACTGCTGATATATGTAAAAAAAAAAAACCTAAACGAGTTTATTACTATACCTGATTTTCTTCGAATGAGGTCTCATTCTAAGAGCTACGGCAGGTAACAGTCAATTAATTGAACTCTTGATTTATTGTGATGCGTCAACGTTCAAACACATGAGTAGATAAAGAAGTACTTGGACAGTACTAATGCAAGTCTTCACATGTGCTCTCTGTGAATTCTCTGTTTATACCTCTCGTAAGCCGTGTATTTTTAATCCCGCCCTAGACCTGCTATGAACTTGTACACATGCACCACCCAAGACACATTAGGCTCATGTGTGCAAGGAAGGTCTTCATCCCCTCTATAAGTTCTACCTCTACAAGCAACTACAAGTGCCTTCACCTGCTCACACTTTGCAGCAACTATCTGCAACTGCCTTTCCTTTTCGAAAGTCAGTTTCCTTTGTTTGAGACGTGGAACCCTGGTGTCCAAAATTGCAATGTAGACAATTTGCATGTTTTTCAATTCAAGATTTTCATTCGATTCATCTAAACAGAGCAATGGCGCGTGTGTTCATTCTTGGCGACCCTGTAGCCAGATAGACGGGTTTCAAAGCCAGGATAATGTGTAAGGTGTTACTTTTTGTGCTTTGAATTGATTTGATCTTTTTAGCTTGGCCTAAACACGGTACGACGAAAGTGAAAATAATGTTTGATAATTGTATGATTTCCCCTTTATTTTGTTGTGGCAAATAATAAAAAGCTAGGTTGAACTGTAGCTTCTGTATCGGGTTGAGTGCCGGGTCGTGCCAAATCAGCCAATGCTCCTTCCGCTGAAAGCCTCTCAGCCTTTTTTTTTTATTTCATCGTGTGTTCCCCTGGTATCATCACGGATCTTCTTTAGCTCTGCACGAATCTCATTTTCACCGAGCTCTTTCTAAAATGCATCTTCTTTTTTTGGAGGTCTTTCTGTTGTCTTGGAAGGGAATTTTTCTTGCTTGCAAGAGGCATTTCTATCCGGGTCTACTTGTCTCTTAGATACCCTTAAATGTGGCATGTCAGAATCCTACTAATGACTAATGATAGAAAAACGTTCATGACGGTTTCGTGGCATGAACTCTCTTTAATAAGAAAGATAAAGGGCTGGGTGTTCTACTCAACAAGACCAGGTGAAGGCTTCTTTTGAAGAGCACTTTCGGGGAACATCTCTGGGTCATTTTTGAAAGTTTTCTTTGCATTTTACATGTTAAGGGGCATATCTTGCTTCTCCGATGCTTTATAATTTCCTTTTTGTGACCCTAGGTTCCTGATGAAAGTGCCTTTTGACATTTTCATTGAGTTCAGTCAGGGTTCCCTTCCTAGCCCTTCTGCAAAACTTACTTAAAGGGAAGGTACATTGTATTAGAGACTCGAATAAAAGACACGCATTGCAGCTTGTCAGCGAGTGATCTTTCTTCCCTTCTTTACTTGTTACTTTGTCCTCTTTCCAGTTCTTTGAAGGAAATGCTGTTAGGTATGCTTCTTTCTCTGCTTTGCTTCTCCAGGTTAAAAATTTTTAATCGATGGTTTTGTTTTGCCGGATAAAGTTCACTCGTTTCATGAGTAGCTCAAGGTATTCTTGAAAATGTTCATTGAAGTCATTAGTGGGAAGTCACGAATTTTAGGCTCCAGGGCCGGGTTGTTCAAAGCTGGGTTAAGATAACCCAGGATTAGTATGAATTTTTATTTCAGATCTGAAAGCTTTAAATGTCTAAAAAGAATTAGGAAAATTATCCCAAAACGGCTTTTGAACAGAGAAATATAGAAAGCTGGATTAAAATTAAATCCTGGGTTAGTGCTAATCGCCCTTCGAACAACAGGGCCCTGCAGGAGCGAGAAGACTGTAGTCTCCCTATTAAATTTTGAACAGTTCCTAGTACTATTTTTTAATGACGCAGACTTTTAGTTATTTTATATAAAGAGCACATAGCAGTTCACTGGTGTTCACAAGGAACCCTTTTTTTGAGAAAAAAGCCTTTACACTAAAAGCTATGGTTAGTTTTATTGCCATTTTCTTGTTATATATTAAAGTTGAAATAAGCTGCAGATTGGGAGATTTGCTGCTGCACTGCCTAATCTGTTGTTTAAACTACAGCTACTTGGACAGCTAATTTCACACGACGTTGTACATCCATGTTTTTTTTACTTCTCATCTATAATTGGCAACATCTCTTACGGAGATCTCCTATTTGTCATCTTACTTGTATGAGTTAGTTGCTCCCTTGACAATCTCGCTCAAAGCTGATCCTGCGGTTTTCATCGAATGACCTTTTCCAGTGCCTTAGGACTTCTTTACTTTTCTAACTCTTCTCTGTAACTTGTTCAGACTTTGCATTTTACCTTACAAGAACAGAAAACCATATCTGATGATTCCTTTAATACAGACTGACACAAAAAAAAAGCTACACAATCGCAAGAATTATCCATCACCTTCGAGCGAGGGAAAATCGATGCCAGGAACCTCATTTTCAACAAATTGAGGATTTTTCCATACTCAGTCTTCTTTTTGTCTCTATCTTTATATCTGTTTGACTCTATGCTCCAAAAGCTTTCTCGTAACCATAATTTCTGTAAATGGAGGGATGCAGCAAAATTAGTACAGCGAATACTTTTTGCGGCTTTTTTTTTGCCAAAATGAGACCTTTGGGCGCCCACAATTTATTTTTAAGTTGTCTTTGTTGACCCACACACATTGGCAAGTTTCGCCACTTGTCAAGCTTTTCCTCGACAAATTTCCTTTTTTTAAACTAGCATGAACAAGGACTCGGACTTTTCTGGGGAATACGACACCCCAATAACCTTAAGATTAAAATTAAGTGAGTTTAAAAAGTTTTCGAAACAATTAAAATGCATTACCTGATAACTGAGACACTTGCGGGCATGTCAAACTTTCGGTGAAATAATGGTCAAGAAGGTATCTTCTAGAGACATCTTCGTGCAATTAGTAGCCGTCCTGCACAAGTTGTATTATGTCGAGGGCCCTTGATTTAGCATTCAGCGGAGCACAATAATGAAAATGCGAAACTGACTCTACAGAGTTTCATGCCCCGGTCCTCACCGTTCTATTCAATTTTTAGAGAAGGGTATTTTTTTATTTTTGTTAGCTGTAATTTCTAAATTATTCTGGTAGGATTTCGCCTGAAAATGTGCCCATTTCAACGCTCCCGACTGAGGTCATCGTGGTAAAATTAATAACTATGTTTTTACTCTTATGTCTTTTGATGCGTATATGAATGGAAATATTACATATCATGCGGAGTTATTGAGAAGCCAAAACAGCGTCGGTTTTCTGCTTAAAACTGATTCAAAGGAAGATTAAGGTGATAATAATGCAAATTGATCAAACACTCTTCAAACCCAGGATTAACGAAGGGTTAAACTTAAACTCAAATTATGTGAGAAATGTCATGTATCTTTTCGTTGAACCGATAGGAACCTATAGTTTTCAGACGTGATACTCTGCATAATAGGCAGAGTCTTGTGGCGATTGTATTGAAGAAAAGCAATTTATTCAGCGAACAAGTACTAAAGCGGCTATGTAATTTAAATCTTAAATTATTTGTTCTTTAAAACACGACAGGAGCAAGCACGTCAGCAATTATTGCCGTTCATAATATATTTCATCTCGTCATTTTATCCTAGTTATGATTTTGAGTCATATCCTTTGTTATCGCTTTTGATTTACCAAGATAGTCTGCGTTCAGGAGGCAAGTTTAAACAATCTCATCGCAGAAGGGAAACGCACTTTTATTTTAGAATTCCCAAATTTCAGCTGTCAAGTTAGCAGCTGCAAATTCGAGATCGCTAAAGTGTCTATAAATACAATAAAAATCCTATCAATCAAGTTGACACATGCAACTTCAAAATGATTTCCTCGGGTCATTTCCACGTTTCATTTGCATGTGCAATGTATTTTCGTAGAGCTATCTCAAAACATTTCAAATGCAGTTTACATCATCTCCCTTTTTCATTGTTGAATTTGTATCTCCACATGCAGTCGGATTTTAGATGTAACCTTTATGAATGGGAGCCGTGAATATTAATTGGACATGGTATAAAGAGTATTCGTTATTGTCCCAAACGCTTTGAAAGATAGATAAATTCAGGTGGCTTTTATTCGCAGTTGAACTTTCGTCAAGCAGGTACTAGAAAACGTACGTTTTAGTGTAACGTTTTTGTTAGGCTTCGTTCACAAAGGGTTAACAAGTTTTCGTTCGTCGTTCATCAGAAGCATCTCTACGGTGTAAATGGCTCATAAGGTTAGTATCGCGTCATCGAAGAAGGAAATTGTTGGCGGAAAGCGATAAGTTTAGATTAGGGTACATTTTATGAAAAACGTTAATAGATTTGTAGGAAATGTAAATACGGGTTTGCGTTTTTTCTTTTCAGAATCATTCAGTTCGAAAATTACTTCCTATATTTTGTAAGATGAAGCATATACTGGGAATTTGGGCAACTTCACCATCCAATATGATTCAATGAAAAGTGATTGCTGTTACTTTTTTCGTTCTCAATCAGCCATACTTCGCAGGGAAATTACCCTAAAAGACGTAGATTGACACTTTTAATTAAAGAGCTCATAAATCGTGCGTTATCTTTTTCAGCATTCAAAGCCACGAGCATAGACGTAAATGCTGGCATCTTCTTTCATCCAGCCGGATAGGCTATACATGTATTTGAGCTGTCTTGGGCGGATGCAAATGAGCCATGAATGAGACAGCGCGGAAGAGTTTTAGCTACGACACGCATAAAATCTTACACGTTTCCATGATTGCCATCGTTATGATTGGTTCTATAGTTGGGAACAGCATTATTTGCTTTCTTCTTGTCAGATTCAAGACTTTGCGAACAGTTCCCAATATCCTTATTGTAAACTTGGCTTTCATTGATATTTTAAACGCAGTGACCAACATGCCACTGATGATCATGTGGTACATATACCAAGTTCCGTATTTGAAAGGACGTGCAATCTCCTGGTTCATAGTGACATGGTACGTGCTTTTCATGTACCTCACCGTATTTAATCTGACGGTGCTTACAATGGACCGCTTCGGAGCCATTGTCCACGGAATTCATTATCACTCGTGGAAGACAATCAACAAGGCGAAAGCAGCAGTGTTTTTTGTGTGGATTTCTTCCGCTGCCTATACGTATGGAATGTTCACTTTGGGACTGGACATCGACCTTGGTGACGCCCCAGTGCTTCTGTACAGAATACATTATTTGAAGAAATTTGGAAGGCATTTTATCATTCCAGGGTATGTTGTACCTTTCACGATCATGGTAGTTATGGGAGTGACGATTTGGCGAACCGTGCATAACCATAGCAGACGCATTTCGGCGTACTCTTCTACGGGAAAACAGACCAAAAATGACGTGAAGACAGCAAAGACGATCGGCTTGACTGTAGTTGCTTTTTTCTGCATGGGTGTATTACCGATGTTGCTACACAACATATCTAAAGTTCACGGTTCATGGCCTCATTTCCTCGCTTTCTTTCTCAATCATCTAAACAGTATGGCAAATCCGATCATTTACTCTCTGAAGACTCCTCGGTAAGTATTCATGTTGTGATTATTCTTGTTTCCATTTCATTTGCAATACAAAAAAAAAAGTAACAGCACTTTGACATTGACTTTGTCTCTTGATCTTTCATTTTACCATAACAATAGGATGTTTCTTTTTATCGTTGGTGGCCATATCAAATATAAATTTAGTAGAGGCTTGAATGACTGAATCTACAAATCAAGTTTGTTTCACCGCATATTTTTTTAGAACTTTCTGCTAAATCCAGGCAAGAAGTAAACACGTCCTTTTTTCCACAGGTTTCGTAAGGCGTTTATTCTGTTCTTGAAGGAACCTTTGGGCAAGTCCCAGCCACTGATGGCTTCCAAGAATCGGATGGATCTCAATTCCACAACGAGGAATTTATCTTCGAAAGTGGATATGTTTCACACCCAGATCTCATCTGTTTAAATCTTGATGATAAATTCTCTTTGTGTATCACTTTTGTTCCATTGTACAGCAGTAATAGTTTGAAAACGTCAACTCGACGTTTATTGAATATGTAACAAGAATTGGGTTGAGATTGTTATTAGGATACAGTTCACCAGCGTGGACATTGGAAAAACCCATATTTGACGAAATTCATCGTTTACATTTATTTTTGATCCATAATCTAAAGATTTCCCTAAGGTTACCTAAGCCATGAAAAGCAAAGTAACATTTATCTTTTACACAGAGTTTCTACAAACTCTCTCCACAACGAGGAATTTATCTTCGAAAGTGGATATGTTTCACACCCAGATCTCATCTGTTAAAATCTTGATGATAAATTCTCTTTGCGTAGTTTAAAAACGTCAACTCGACGTTTACTGAATATGTACGTTCAAAGTCGCTTAGCGAAGTTTATTTCTTTTGTGGTTTTACTTCATATGCACAGATACTAATCTTCACAAGTTGTCTCCCCGGTCTGCAGGAAGACAACTTTAGTTGTGAAGATCGAGTGAAACTCTTTCCTTGTTTACGGGTTTTACTTAAGATGCACAAACGTAAAGGATAAGCAGGATTGTTTAACGAGTTCATTTCGTGAGTTGCTGGGCATCTTGAAAGTCTTGGTGAATGCTGTAGTCATGGTCGGATCTATAGTAGGAAAAGGAATAACATGCCTCCTACTTATCAGATTCAGAACTTTAAGAACAGTTCCTAACATCCTCATCCTCATATATATAAAGTATATATTTATTTCTCTTTTACACAGAATTTCTACGAGGGCGTATAAGTTGAGGTTATGAAATATTTCCTTGAAGTAGCATCTTTTTCCTTCTGCTACCGTTATTAATATTAATTCCCGCTGGTGGCAATTTTCATTTTCAGGCTTTATTTACACATGCCTAGAATAATCATTAACTGTCTTCCGCTGTCAACCTCTCAAAAAAAATCTAGTAACTTCTTTGCCTTTCATCCTGCACTTCGTATCACTTGAAGATTTCAAAACATGAAGCTGTCTGTGAACCACGCAGATGTCCTTACGTTTTGGAATCTATCCATTGAAGAAAAATAAAGCCACTTCTAAAAGAAAATTAAAACTGTGTAACCGCTCTGTCATTAAGTTTCTTCCTCTAGAGTAAAAATTCACATGATCATATAATTTGAGGTGGAAGACCTTGTACAAGAACATTTGTACTGGACATGTTAAGGTTGCAGCTGTCTAGTGTTTCGTTCAAGTGTAGGAATAAAGTTGAAATATGAAGTAAGTAAAGTAATTTTTTTTACATCTTAAATTTTCTCAGCGTTAACTAGCAATATGTTTTCAGACATGATTAGGGGATGTTACAATAGAGAACTTAAGCAGAGAAATACTCTAGACGCAGATGACATGATGCAAATTGACAAAGGCCGCTTTGACAAAGCCACCTTGACGCAACATTCTAAACCAAATTGTGCTAATCATAGTTAGCATCAGGAGTGAGTAGTTTTAACTTTCTATTGACGTCCGCCTAATATGACGTTGTTTTAAACTTTACCCGAGGCCAACTTCTCAATGTTATCTTTACCATCCCGAATTTTCGATTGCGCAGCACAGGGAACGCTAAAGAGCAGGAATTCAGAATAATGTAACGGCAAGGTAAAATATATATTGTATTCACTGAAAAATATTTTACAGAAAGAAGTCCTTATTATTTTTCCTTATTTAATACGTTTCTTTGAAGAAAGAACGAGAGCAGTTGAGACTGTGGTATGTTGCGCACAAAACACCTGCAGTGAAAAATAATTCCATGTAAGCCATTTAAAGTGCATTTTTTACAACAGTTTTTCCTTTGTTTAGTCACAAACTTTTTTTTAAGAGAACTGTTCTATGAATTGTATTCAGATAAGTACGCAAATTACAGAAATTAAGACGTCTTTCAACGGGAACACATGAATCATTCATCATATAAGAAATTCATCATGTGAGAAATTCGAAGAAAAAACCAGAAGTCCCTTTGACAAAGTAATTTCACAAATGAATTCAGGATACGCAAATTATTGGTTCAACGGGAAACGAATCCAAATGAATTTTCAATGCGAACAGCGTACCTCTGGAGCCATATCAGGTAATTTTAGTTCAATCATGGTCAGATATTTCATCGAGAATGAAGTGTTTAACTTTTTTTGGCGAGAAAAAAAAATTGCCTGCCCTTCAAGACATTTACATCTAATGTACTAAATGTATTTTTTACAAGTCGATATTAGGAAGAAAAAAAAAAGCAGAAACAAACTAAGCAAGGAAACGAAAAAGGTGATCGCCCACATTTGGCTCTCAAGGACTTCTTTTATGAACTGTCCATATTGACTTAGGTCATTAAGTGGAAGAAGAAATTCGTCAGCCATTCTCAACAAGTTCAAGTCTAGTCATGGCACATCACTAAATGAATTAAGAGGAAAAATTCAGCACGTTCGTGTAAAATTGGATATATGATGATACATAGAGAATAATTCATAATACACAGGCGCGCGTAGATATGGAATTTCTCTTCGAGCGTTTAACTCGAGAGTTCATGAGTAAGCACCGCGAACGAGTGAGATGTTGGGTTGAACACGAGAAGAGAAATTCCATATCTACAAGCAACCATGTATTATTTTGTTTATCATATAAACACAATAGCCCTCTACCGACAAAGAAAGCCGACCTCATTGATGAATGAAAGTAATTGAATCGATAATCCCCGAATAGCAATCGTAAAGTGCGTTGGTGGTATCTCTTAAGATGTAAAAATGCGTTGAATTGTGATTCAAAATCATGTCTGCGTTGAATCATGATTACAAAAACATGTATTATTGTGTCTATCATAGAAACACAATAGCCCTTTATTGAGAAGGAAAGCTGACTTCGTTAATGAATGAAAATAAATTAATCGACAATCCCCGAATAACAATCGTAGAGTGCGTTTGCACTAAATCTTAAGATCGAAAAATGCGTTGAATCGTGATTACAAAAACAACAATGGTCGTAATTCTCGATTCACAAAATTATTATTTATTGACTTTGTCCATAAGAAGTCTTTCAGGTAAACGGCCAAAATCGGTCAGTGGCAAATCTTTCAGTTGTCGATTTTCATTGGCTAGAAATGCCAACACCAAAGCCACTGAATAGGTAACTTTCGGTTTTTATTTTCCTATCTTGGTTTTCTTCACCTTCTAGGAGAGTTTGAACTTCACTGTCTGTCAGCGATAAGGATTTTTTGGTGTTTTAGCCGCCATAATCCAAGAGAGTTCCGACAAACTACCTTGTACTGAGAATCGTAAAGGCTTTGCCGTTCATTCATCAACCTGACCGAGTGACGCAAAGGCGAGTGACGTTTCAGCAGCTGATTAGCTATCTCGACACACGTGAAAAAATACGTTTTGCATAACACCGCGGTTTATGTGATAAACTTCTTTTTTTGAGGAGAATTTCTCTGTTTCGTCATGTTGTAAGCATGTTGTTCAAAACAAAGAGATGCGCTCTTCTGACAGTTACAGTTCAGCGAGATTGCATTAGCGGGAGTTCAGTACTCCATAATTTAGTGCTGGAAGGCGGGTTAGAATACATTTACCTGTTATACTTTTACAAGGAAACAATTAAAACCGTCTAGTCATAAATACAATTGTTTTTAGGTCGTTAGCAAGATTTTAATTTTACTGCTGCTGCGAAAGTAAATTTAATTTCTACACCTGATGATCATGCCTAACAGAGCTACCGTATTATTAATTTTATTATTAAAAAAATAGATATTCTGTAAACAATTAGTTGGGAAGAGAAACTGGAATGCTACTTTGTGTATTAAACGTAATAGGTTTTGCGTTATATTAGGGACCTTAAGCATCGACAACGAAATGCACGACGACGAGGTTCGCAACCCAAGGAGGATTGGGTCGAGGGTTTCGTTCTCGGCGGGAAAAACGAAAGTTAAGCAGTGTGTTGCTTTTAGGCGACGACGAGTTTTGGTTCTCTGACGAGTTGCTCTTGTTATGGCTTTCAAAAACGTCCGAAATCTGCTTCTAATTAATCACAACGATGGCTTTTTCGATGATGATGAATTTGTTCTGTACGACCTCTATGCATCGAAAAAACTCGACTTTCCGTACGATTCGTACGCACCTTTTGACCTGAAAGAGCTTGATGAGTCTGAGAGTTTCGCAGAGTTTCGTTTTGGAAAACTAGATATTCGAATTCTGAAGGAAGTTTTGCGAATCCCAAACACGATTACCTGCAGTCAGCGCTCTGTTTGTGATGAGAAGGTCTTTGCATGCTGCTAAAGCGGCTTTCATACCCATGCAGATATAGAGGCATGATCCATAGGTTCGCTAAATCTGTTCCAGTTCTTAGCATGATCATCAATCACACTATTGACTATGTGTATGATGTTCATGGGAACAGAGTACTAAGCTGGAATCATGAGGTCCTCAGCCCTGTCAACCTGCAGACTTACGTTGATGCTCTGACAGCCAGGGGAGCCCCACTGCCCAATTGTTTTGGATTTATTGACGGTACCGTTAGGCCTATATCAAGACCTAGAGAACATCAGCGACTTCTTTACAATGGCTATAAAAGGATTCATGCCCTGAAATTTCAAAGCATTGCTTTGCCAAATGGCTTGATCGGAAATCTATGTGGCCCAGTTGGTAAGTTACAAAACAGTACAGGCCACCAGCTTTAAAGCAGGGATATGACCAGCTTTTTAAGCGATGGCAGACCTGATAAATGCATGACACCAAATGTTAATTTTTGTAGGCCTTGTACGTAGTTAAAAAAGGGGAAAAGATTCGGAAAAAACTGAAATATTTTGCAGGGCTATAGGACAGCTATGCGCTTGCCTGGGGTGGCAAGAGATACAGAAAATCTTACAGTTCTTTTGAAATGGTTCTTGCTCAGCTGTATAAATGTGGCCGGCCATGGTTTCGGATGCTTCTGAAAGAAAAGTCATTTTAGTTTGTTAAAAATCGCTAAACTGTTGAACATTTGACTTCCGCTGGTCCGCAAACAATACATCTAACAATCATTACATCAAAAGGTGGAAATGGATGATTATCAGCATGTAAAAGTTTAGTTGTTTACTTACGTTTTCACCAGAACGTAAAACCTGCTCAGATTCAGTCGTCGACGAAGGCTGGAAGACGTTTTGACAACATCGCACATGCGCAGAACGCTCGCGTGGGAAAATTTTAATTTCGCCCGTCGTCCTCGTGCCATTTCGTTGTCGATGCTTAAGGTCCCTATTCTTAAAGGTTGACAACACTTCGTGTCTTCCTTTAGCCCGCTTCCCGTTTCTCAAGCTTATAATTGTAAGCAAACGTTACAATTGAAGGTCGAAAACTAAAAATGTCTGAAATGAACACTGATTTTCTCGTTCCTTGGTCTTAGGAAGCATCAAATCAGAAAGAAAAAATCCCGAAAGTAATCAAGGGAACCTCAGATGTGAAGATAGAAGGAGAGGTTATCATCATTTGCAGTTTATGGTTGGCGGGGTTTGACCTGCACGAACAGTCTTAAACGATGAATGAAACTTTTCAGTTACATTCATGTCGTGATTCGCAAAGAATCTCAAATATCTTCATGATTGCTGTAGTCATGATTGGATCTATAGTTGGAAACGGCACAATTTGCCTCTTACTTATCAGATTTAAAACTTTGAGAACAGTGCCCAACATCCTCATCGCCAACTTAGCTGCTGTTAACATTCTCAATGCACTGACCAACATGCCTCTTTTCATCTTGTGGTACATTTGTAAAGTGCCCTTCCTTAAGGGTCGTTTAATCTCCTGGATACTGGTCACATGGTATGTATTGTTTGTATACCTTACCGTGTTCAACCTCACGGCACAGGCGATGGACCGTTTTGGGGCCATTGTGCACGGCTTACATTACTATGCGTGGAAAACAAAGAAAAAAGCCAAGGTAGCGGTACTTTTTGTATGGCTTCTCGCGGCCTTATACACATATGGTATGTTTACACTTGGATTGGATATTGATTTAGGCGACGCTCCAGTGCTGGTATACAGGATGACCTACTTGAAAATTTTCGGGAGACACTTCATCATCCCTGGAATTTTGGTTCCATTCTTTTTAATGCTAATATTAGGAGTGGCCATTTGTGTTAAGGTGCGTAATCATAGAAAGCGTTTTTCGACTTTCTTCTCCGTAAAAATTCGATTCGGAAACGACGTAAAGACCGCAAGGACAATTGGTGTAACAGTGTTGGCGTATTTCTGTATGAATGTGATACCAATGTTATTACACAACCTAATGAGACGCCGCGGTAGCTGGACTCACTTCCTCGCGTTCTTCCTCATGAAACTGAACAGCATGGTGAATCCTATCATTTATGCTTTGAAGACTCCAAGGTAAGTTCAGTCTGTGAGGTATGGGGTTAAAAGTTGGCTTTAGGAATTTTAGGAAGACATGTAATTCTTATCCTTACAGAGACTCATGCAAGGTTAAATCTTTTCGTCAACTGTGTACCAGCATTGACGAATCCTGTTTTGGCATAAGCGGAGGAAGACAGCTCTATTCTAAACTGTCCTTTTTTTTTCTAAATTTATGGCTGCACTAGGTGTTCTAAATAAAAGTCGCACCACTTTTATCAAAGGTATACAACAAATTTATAAATGGCGCCCTCTCGAAACGGCCTGGTTTTGAATACAAAAAAACTAGGTCCGAAAGGCCACTCAACGAAAGGGCAACTTTATTTAATTATCGAGTTGCTTTTTACGGTAATTCAAACCCAAAATATTGGCCTTCTTTAGTTTATTATCGTTTATGGTAGAATATCCGGGAGACTATAGGAAAGTCTTGGAATTTTGAAACCTCGTAAGTAGTCTTTTCTTGTGGAAAACAACTCAGAAATCCCAACACATTGCTGTGTTCCTCTGTGTACGAAGAAGGGATGTCGAGTCGAAGTAACTGATGCCAATATTTCTTACTTCCGATTTCCAACCGAAGAAAACTTGAGAAAACAGTGGATTCACCCGATAAGAAGGGGTTTGGGGAAGAATTTCTCTATATTAAATTCAACCAAGATTTTCTCAAGGCATTTTATGGCTGAAGATTTCAAGACTACTCTAACGCATGTGGCGTCTTTAAAAGCGGGAATAGTGCCTTCAATTTCTGCGTGGAAACGAATTTCTCCACGAAAACGACCTCCACCTACTCCAAATAGGATAGAAATTTTGATTTAGAAGCTACAGGAAGAAAGTCTGGAAAGTGTATGAACTTTTATCGTAAATATGTAAATATTGTTTCAATGGGACATAAACATCTTTTCGAGTGAACTGCACTTTGTGTCTCACAAGTGAGGGATGATCTAATTTGTTTCATAATTTATATGCATGCACAGAGATGTTGATGAGATTGGTGATGCTAATTTCTGTTATCTTAGGCCATCTTGTTTTAGTCACTATTACTGTCCATTGCTATGTAAATATAGGATCTTGCATATTACACAACATGGCACACACACACACACAACACACTTGATTTACAATACCAAACTGGCATAGTAAGAGGAATTACTCCTTCAAAAATTAAAAAGTTCTTTACCTTTAGGGGATACCCAGGGGAAGTATGTCTTCAATGGTGAAACTCTTGTCAGCCATTATAGAGTCCCCTGTAGAAAAACGGAGGTTTAGAAAACCACTGCGCCCAACCATTTCCTGTCTGATATGCTGCCTATGTACAACTGTCCAATAAATGTGAAGGACCCCCTAGGTGAAATTCCTTCCTGGTCCCTTCAAAGTGGTTTGATGCTCACAAGAACTAAACAGTTCACTTTTTAAAAGAAGACTACTTGGCATAGTTTGAGTTAAGAAAATGAATTTGATCCATGTGATAAAAATTCGACTGACAGTCGACTGAGAAATATGAAATAAGTTGGCTAAATGTTGTTCAGCAAAACCTTGTCTGGGTCTACAGATTGTGAGAAAAAACTCATCTAATGGTTGTAAAAATCTTTGCCTTCCCTGTTTCCTTAATTTCTCACTATCACTATTAGACTTGAAAGTCTCTTTACCAGGTAACCAATAATTGATATTTTCTCCATTAAAACAAGGGTCCAGGATTTCAAATAAAGCCATCATCGTTTGGAAGTTTGGAAAAACAGTGTAAAATATTAGAAGTGAAGAGTTTGTTTTGATATTTTCAAGTGAAAATAATAGAGTTTTCATTTTTCTTCCAGCAACGAAACCTCTTCCTCCAATTTCTTGTTATTGGTTAACAATTCAGCAATCTGGTCTTCTAGTTCATCGTATCTTTTACGGATTGACGCTTGGTGAAATAAGAGTCCGGTTCTGTCACCAAAGGTTCTAAATCAATTGCTGTTGTTGTCGATGAAGATGAAGATATCGCACTTGGAATTACGATAGAAGTTCTTACAGTTTCCAGACTTTCTTCCTGTAGCTTCTCAATCAAAATGTCTTTCCTATTTGTCAAGCGAGGAGTAGGCGGAGGTCGTTTTCGTGGAGAACTTCGTTTCCACGCAGAAATTGAAGGCCCTACTCCTGGTTTAAAAAGTGGTCTTGAAATCTTCAGCCTTAAAAAGCTTTAAGCAAACCTTGATTTAATCTGATAAAGAGAAATTCTTCCCCTTGTTCCTGCTTTTTTCGTGTAGTATATCCTTCAACTTTTAAACTGATAATGTACAGTAGTAGGGGCTTATAATCCAACGATGGAAACAATTTGTTCACTTATATGTCAACAGGTTCCGCAGAGCTCTGGCACTCTTACTGAAAGAACCACATGGCCAATCAGAACCCAATATGAACTCAATATGAACTCGACAGCTGGTTGGAACTTAGCCCCGTTCACAAGAGTCTACTGGACTACACCTAAGAAACAATCAGTAGAGTCGTTTGTCTAACTATTTAATCACTTGCCTCACTTTTGTAGTATTTACAGATGTGCAAGAGCTACTCTACTCACATGGAAAAGGAAGCTTAATTTTTATGGATTTTGTGCTAGTATAGGAAATAATTCGATTAGTCTTTGCTACGTGATAATCAGAAAAATTCAGTCAAGTCCTGTAGCTAAGATGGTTCAAGACGGACGAATGTGACATCGAGGAAACAAAACTTTAAATTTCAATGTGGTGAATTTCCCAACCCTCGTAATGTTTTGCTGAAAGCTGAAACATGCCGGTATCCTCCAAATGTTTTTTCATCAACGTTGACCAGGGAGGGGGGGAGGGGAGAAAATTGCTTCCACAATTGTGATAAGGATTTTAGCTGTTCGTCTTCTTTGCAAAGAAGCAATAAGTTTTACTGCTACATTGAAATGGAAGAGAGACAACAAGGTTAATTAAAATTGATAATGAGTAATAGTAATAACAATAATGGCACATCGCAACCAACCCAAAATGTTTTTAATAAAGTTCCCTAAAGGATAAGGAGTGAGAAGATAAGAAACATTGCTTGTGATCTAACCTACATAAGAATAATTCAGCCACATAAAACTAGCCACTAGCAGTTTAATTTTACGCATACATGTAAGCTAGCTGCGGGTGTATTAAAAGGTTAACTACTCTATATTTGAATATAGAGCGAATATTAAAAGAGAGATAATTCTAGACATGAGCAATTTAATGAACAAGGATAAAATCTAAAACATTGTGGAGGTAATTTCCTCTTTAATAAAATCTCATTTTGATGCCGTAGAGAGAGAGGATCTCTCGTTTCATGGACTGCCGTCAAATTCTAAAAGTCTTCTCCCTTGTTTGAATCACGGAAATGAAAAGAGATCGCGATCTTTCAAAGGCAATCGCCATATCAAAATCTCCAGCGAACACTTTACTTTGGATGATTTTAGTAATCAACACTCCAGTAAAAAACGATCGAAGGCCAATGCAGTTCCTTCGATGTTTCCGTGGAATAAAGAGAAACAGAAGAAGGTTCAACCGGTGAAGAGGTCTGCTTTAGAAAAGCTGGATCAAGGGAGAGCCAAAGAAGAAGCAACGGATACGGTAGTAATGGTAGTATCTTTATTTACACTCCATAAAAAATCTTCATTAAAAACAATAGCGTCCAGATCTATCTATTTACAAAATTAAATTGGTTAAAACTATCAAAATACTGTTTTACAAGATTGCCGAGTGGAATCCCAGTGACTCAAATACACAGTTAATTCGCTTTTTAAATTTACCTATTGATCTGATTTCTCTGACGTTCTTAGGTAATGAGTTCACATAAGAGAACCGCGGTAACTAAAACTGCGTTTTAAGCAATTAATACGCGGCCTTGGCTGCGTCAGTTTACAAAAAGAGTTGCGCAAATCATAGTTTGTGCTTCGCTCGTTAAATAGGTCCCGCAAGTTCATTGGAGCTAATTCGTTTGGGGGTTTAAACATCATTATCGTCTTTTGTTTCTTTGTCCTTATTTCTAGTCTGTCCCAATTAAGTATTTCGAGAAGCAGGTTTTTGCTTGTATCGTAATCGGCCTTTAAAATTGCTCTGGCTTCTCGGTTCTGTAATTTTTGTAGTTAATTGCTCAATTGATTACATAACATGTCCCAAACGAAAGTACAGTCATCAAATTGAGGTTGGATCTGGGTGTTGTTAACTGGTATGGCAGTAGATTCGGAGGTTAGAGGCCTGATACGTCTAAAAAAACCTATTGCGGAAGATACCTTTCTACAAATTTCGTCAACATGCTAATTAAATCCCAAAGTTATTACACGAAGTCATATCAAAACTTGTCGGTGTTAAAATTCTTAAAAATGCGAGTTTCAACAGAGCAGTGCGAATCAACACGTTCAGAGCGTGTTTTTATCGTCATGAACACAAATGAATGATTGCTAATACCAAGATGAACCAAGACCAATCAATGTTCGTGATATTAGTGTAATCCTGGTTGGTTCAGAAATCATTTGACACAATCCGTAAATATCAAATATGTTCGTTAAATGCGACGAAGTATGGTTGTTTGACCGATCATGCAACATGTCACAATTCAGGCCTCCGAGTAGGTAGAAATCCTTGCGTTCTAAATCAATTTTATCTACCGGGTTTTCAAATCGATTAACAATTTCTTTTTGGGAACTTGGCGGTCTATACCATGCATATGCTTATTTAAAAAGGCCTGGAATGCGGTCTGGTGATTTCGATAACAAAACTTTCAAGTTGGTCATCTTTGAAGTCCTCCCAAACACAGTTGTTCGGGAGCGATAACGAAAACCTCCTAAATGCGACTAAACTGGAAAACACAAGCGATAACGAAAATCTCCCAATGCGACTAAATGCCGCCAAAAAACTGCCACTAATTGCGACTTAAATTGCGGCTAAAAACTGCGACTGAAACTACGACAACACACACGCGAGAAATCGTAAGCGTAACTTGCTTACGACTGATTAACGTTAAATGTCTCAGCGCGCGCGCTAATTGCACGACGCGCCAGTCCGGTACTTTCTTCTTAACAACGATAATTTATGTTTTGTAAATAGACACATGCCATTACATCTCCTGTTCACGGTGCGGTCCCCTTCTAGCGACATCAAATACCGTTAGATTTATTTCTGAATCACTAATGTAACTATAAGGCTCGGTCTCATTGATCGCTAATACATCGAATTTTGAACTACTCATAAATATCTTAAGGTCGTCAATATGGGCGAGTAAACTATTTATAATAAGTGATGCCATAACAAAACAACGACCAAATGCATTAAATTCCGGTTTCGATGGTTTACCCTTATTGCCGCAGGACTCCCTGGAAGGCATACACTCATTAGATTCCCACTCGACAATATTCTAATCTCCTCTTAAATACTCAATAAAGTTTGACGCCAGACGAGCAGTTCCTCTGGTGTTCAAGAGGAGACCACTCTATTCAGGTCGTGATCGACAGAGATATTTGAATGGTCGACATATCCCCAAAAAATTCTGGTTGCAGAATTTTCCTAGTATCTTGTCTACGCTAGATACTTTAACGCCTGATTCTCGTTGTCAGATCTTGAAACAAGGTCTGATGTCGTCAGTTCAGCTGAAGATTCTTCGTTTATCATGTGGGTTAAATTAACAATTTCCTCACCACAATGACGCAGGGAAGTCGCTGAAGGTCAAAGACTGTTAGTGCCAACATGGATTACAATTTCGTCCGGGTTTTTCCGTGATATAGATTTAATATGGTCTCTCATGTCCTGCATAGAACAACCTGGAAATAAAGAAATTTTTACTTTAGCAGTACCGGATATTTTACCCCCTTGTAGATTCTTCAAGATGGAGTCTTCTAATATGAAAACTTCTCTTTGCTTGCGTTGTGTAGTCCTGGCTCCATCATCTGTATTTGTATTTGTTCGTGCAGTATCTGGTTGGCTTGCTGACGAAGTTTTCGCTTGCGAACGTCTCCTATTAACCTTTGTGTCTGTCGTAGGCAGATTCCTTAGCTCACCGGTCTTCTTTTTTCCAACCAAAATAGAATCATCTTAGGGCTCCGTAACGACACGGTTGTTATGAGGTTGTGTGACCGATGGGTTTTTATACGATTATTTGGAAACTATTTGGAGTGATAGTTTGAGTGAATCTCTTTCCTCTCGAGTAGCTATTAATTCCTTCTGTGGCTCGAGGCAGCGAACTGTGGTGGCATGTAACTCATGCTGTAAGGCTTAGTTATCTTTCTTTGTAGCAACAAGTCTTGCAAGGTATTCGAGGTATTTGTACTTTGCGAACAGTGCATGCAGCTCCAAATTTTTGTGATTTAGGCTCGCAATTCTTTAATTTCGCTCAGAACGTCAGGAGGATTACATATGAGGAGGATTATATCTGTAGCAAATTGGATGACCAACTAAGAATTCCTTGTTTACATAAACGTTCTGTATCCCACCTTATTTCTAGATGTACAACTCCAGAGAAAGAGGAGAAGTTGTGGAGTTACAGTCATGGTGAATTCATGAGTTACAATTTGTGTTGCCTGATCTAGAGAGAAAAATACTGATTTACTGGGATATTACAACAAGAAAATCCAGTGTCGTTGACACAGAGAAACTATTTGAGGGTGGTACTTATGATCAAGATGAAATCGGTGGAGATAAAGACCTGGACAACACAACTGTTACACGTCCTTCTACCCATAAAACGTCAATGGAGGATGGATTCCCTCTTGTTCTGATGAAACTGAGAATGGGCTTATCAACTATCGACCTTGCAGAAAGCTTTTGTGTCACAGAGAGACAAGTAGAAAACATATTCCTTACCTGGATTAACTATTCGTATGTGACACCTGGAAGTATCAAGATATAGCCCCACAGCGACTTAATTTTGAAATAATTAACCTAGAGTGTTTATGGAATAGTATCCAAATAACACTGTGATCATTGACGCTACAGAACTAAACATTCAAGTTCCTAGTGCTCTTCAGAAACGCAGTGAGACTTACAGCACATCCAAATCTCACACTACCTTAAACTGCCTCCTTGGTGCTGATGCTAAAGGGGAAATTATATTTATCTATCTCTCAGCTTTTTGAGGGTCCTATTAGTGATAAACAAATTGTGGAAAGATCTGAATTCTTAGAAATTCTAGGACAGAAACTAATTGCTGGATGAAGTAAAAAGGGGGAACCATAATTGCAGACAAGTGGTTTGATATGCACAATGATTTGAAAAAACTTGATCTGAAACTAAATATTCCTCCCTCCCTCCTAGTGCTCTTCAGAAACGCAGTGAGACTTACAGCACATCCAAATCTCACACTACCTTAAACTGCCTCCTTGGTGTTGATGCTAAAGGGGAAATTATATTTATCTATCTCTCAGCTTTTTGAGGGTCCTATTAGTGATAAACAAATTGTGGAAAGATCTGAATTCTTAGAAATTCTAGGACAGAAACTAATTGCTGGATGAAGTAAAAAGGGGAACCATAATTGCAGACAAGTGGTTTGATATGCACA